GTTCACGTTTTTGTTGTATTTGTTATATTGTGTCGCCGTAGCCGAGCGGCTAGACGCTCGCCGCGGATCGGAAGATCGTGGGTTCGCTCCCTGGCGGAGCCGGACTATTTTTAAAAATGACATTGGCTCCCAGGTCGACCCAGCCTTGAGTGGGTACCGGATGCAGTCCCGGGAAGTAAAGGCGACCGGCGTGATGCTGACCACATCTTGTGACGATTGGTCTATAAAAATATAGGTCTAGCCCTATATGCCTAAAGGCGAGGAAAAGGGTCCTTTACTTACTTTTACTTATTATATTGTGAAGCTTGCTAATATAATTTTCGTTCAGTTCTATCTTTTCTGAACCATTTAGTATCGCACTTGGCCGTCCACAGGGTTCCGCCATTTCCCCAGTGCTTTTCAATGTATACACAAGCAGGATAGCTTTAAAGTGTTCTTTGTTCCTGGCTATTCTAGGACTTATTTGATCCTCTTCCAGTTCCGGGACATTTCGAAGTCTTTAACAGAAAACAGTTTCAAAAGCCCTGCTTTCGTATAGCATAGGACTATGTAACTAGATCCCGCCAAGTTACCAGCAGATCTTTCAGTGAATTGTGCTTAGTCCAAATTTTTGGCAATTATTTTACTTTGCATTAACAAAGCAGCAGTTTTTATTTTACATTAAGCCAGTAAATCACACACCAAAGCCATTAAAGTATTCACACTAGATTAGTTATAAACTAACGCTTGCTAAGTTTATACCTAAAGAAAAACAAACAATCAAGAGATTCTAAACAAAGTCGCCAAACAAGTATGTATGACTCCATGTTCTCGTTCTTCTATAGATTTTTACTTCCGTTCGGGCTCCGTGACCTTCTTTGATATATATATATATATATATATATATATATATATATATATATATATATATATATATATATATATATATATATATAGAGAGAGAGAGAGAGAGAGACAGAAAAAGAATGAGAGGGAGAGAGATATGTGGGAGGGGTTAAAAAAAAAAAGAGGGGAGGAGAAGGAGACCACCTGCCTCATAAGAACCATCTCGTAAAATAAGACTAATTAGGGGTTTCTAAACTAGCACATGATTGGTCTTAAAGGTGAAATATCGCAGCCTTGCTGTAAATCACAACAAAACGTCGTTATAAGGGTGAACGGCGATGAAGAGGAAGAAGAAAAAAAGAAGAACTTTTCTCTTGTTAACATTTAATTAATTCCACTGAGTAAACATGCACGTCGGCAGTCGTACACACTTGGGAGCAGAGGTAGCGCAGTAGCTGGGTGCTATTCTTCCCGGCTGAGGGTCTCGAGTTCGAATCCACACCAAAAAGGATTACACACATGGGAGCAGAGGAAGCGTAGTAGCTGGGTGCTATTCTTCCAGGCTGAGGGTCGTGAGTTCGAATCCACACCAAGAAGGATTTATAAAAATGATGTGTTTAGAACACACACACACATATGGTTTTAAGGGTGGGGAAGAGGGGGATTAAAAGGAGAGGAGGGGTGGGGAATAGCTTAGGTTTCTCTAAATTTTTTTTATGGGGGATGAGGGGGGGGGTACTCACAGACCCTCGCTGGGCTCTGACGACTCCGCTAGCTGCTGTTTCTAAGAATCAACATGTGGAGGTTGTTTTGCGTGGATGTGTTCTAGACAAGATGATGATACGTAGGCCATCATACCTTACCCGGCTGCAAATACAATCATGGACAAAGCTAGTCCACTTTAGATCCGCAGGTGTGAAATGTTTACATGTCCGCACAGCCTTTAAAAAAAAAAAAAACTTTTTTTCGATGGTGGGTGGGGGTGAGGGTGGGGGTTTAGCCTGAGAATTCAGCAACACAGTAGAAGTAACGTTGGTCTTCCTATTTACTCAGTGTTACACACTAGCAGACTTCTGATTGGTCGATCTTGAGCCACGTTACTTTGGCACAAGGTCACGGGGGTTTTCCGCAATGCCTTTGAAATAGTGTGTTGTATATTTCAGCACGCCAGCGGTTTTAACACTCCAAAAACATGGACAAACTGGGTTAAACACAACCCCCCCCCCCCCCACCCTCACAACACCTGCACTAGAGAGTGCTGCAACCTATGTCACAGGCATTCTCTTTCTCGAAACATAAACGTAAATGCAAGACAACCCAGAAAGCAAACAACAGACAGGTACACCCATAACATGCAGAAAGGTAGACCAGCCCAACAAACTTATGAATAAAACGTGACCTAATTTGTCTGGGGAGACCAATGTTAATTTTACCAGCAACACAAGCCCGGCTCTCTAGCGTAGTTGGCTAAACCGGATTGCGCGAAGACCGGGTGACGAACTCCTTGTGGTACGGGTTCACGCCTGGGGGTAGGCAGGAAAGCCACATTTTCTCCCAGATTTACAATGGAGTCAAGGCCGAAAGGTTGCGATATGCATAATACCGAGCCTAAGGGTTAACAACTCATGGCTTCTGGATACTGAAACAAACAACCAGCAACACAACGATAATGCAGCTCCACGGACTGAGCAGATCTGAATTATTTATGCGCTTGATGAAAAAACTAATTCTTCTTCTTTTTTGTGTGTGTTTATTTTATGCTCGGTGCCGCTAGCCGGCGTAGGTTAACATGTGGTAGGTTAACATGTGATCGGTTTTCGAGGTAGGGCACGCTTGGTTGGCTGGTATGCTGTGATGTTTTGGAGTCTCAAGGTATCAGAGACTCCTTCAATCTATTTTTTTCTTGGTCGTCCCTTACATTTTGGTATTCCTTCTTTTATCTTGCATTATCATGTTTCTGGCAACATTATCATAAAATGGCCAAACCATTTCAGTCTTTGTTCTTCAATTAATTTAATTTTAGGCGATGATCCAATAGTTTTTGTAATTTCTTTGTTTCTCACATTTCTTCTAGTTCTGTTCATAACTATTCTCAAACAAGTCATTTGCGCACGTGGTTAGTTTTCTTTAATGCACTTGAGTCAATGTCCAAGTCTGCCAATGAGAGCACAAGGTTGATATCAAGGGTGCATTTATAATCCATCTTCTTCTTTTATCACCTCACTGATACCATAAACACAGATTAAGTCTGTGCCCTCATCCTGTTCAATCCATGTAGCTAAGCCACGCAGATGATGCTGCAGAATTTCAGTAATTCTTCTGTTCTTTATCCATCAATTAATGTTTATGCATAAGCGTAATTTTTTAAAGTGATAAGTGAAGACTTTATTAGAACATCTGAAGAGGCTAAGTTTATAAAAAAATCCTGCTTTGCCAGCGAGCGAACCCACGACCTTCCGATCCGCATGCGAGCGCCTAGCCTATACGTCACAGCGACTCCGGGTAACATACAGGCAAATGCAAAACTTCTTTCTCACTATTCCAAGCAGTTGAAATTCACTGCTGATCATATTACCCACCCCCATTCATCTCTCTGACAGCCCTTCACTTTGAAGTTAGTGACTCCAAGCATTTGTAAGTCTGGCAGCAGATTATTTCTCCACTACTTCCTTGCTCTGCCTCCAGGTCTACTCCCACTCAACTCTTATGTGTACACAGTTTTTGTATCTGTTATCTGCCATTATCTCTATATGTCCCAAACATTGCAGTCTATTACATAATAATTACTGATGATTTAAACAACTTACTAATTTCGCTGTTGCTTCTTATTCTCAACTGAAATTTTAACTCTTCGCGTGCTGCTGAATATGGGGATGGAGTGCTTATGGGGGATGGAGCTCTTATGGGGGTGTCTCCAGTGCGGTGATGTCGATTGTTAGTTCCACATTCAACATTCTTATTCTCAACTCACTGCTATTTTTCCTGTGGCCGAGCGGCTAGATGCTCGTCGCGGATTGGAAGGTGGTGAGTTCGCTCCCTGGCGGAGCCGGACTTTTTTCAAAAATGACCTTGGCTCCCAGGTTGACCCAGCCTTGAGTGGGTACCGGGTGCAGTCCCGGGAAAGTAAAGGCAGCCGGCGTGATGCTGACCACATCACCCATCTCGTGCCGATTGGTCTATAAAAATATACAGGTCTAGCCCTATATGCCTGATGGCGTGGAAAATGGGTCCTTTACTTTACTTACTGCTATTTGCACTTTGAAAATACAAAGCCTGTCAATAATAAATAAGGATTTCAAGGCTATCTAGAAGTTTGTGGATACTAACAGAGCAGGACAAATAACAATGACAGAAAATACCAGCCTAACAAGTCAACACCATATTAAAACCTGCATAAAACTAAATTGAACTGACAAAAAAAAATAATACAATTTATGATAACAGCTCATGAGACAATGTGAAAATTAAGGATGCAATCACAAGAAGAAGGCAAAGAATCCAGATTGCTTTTGTGCAGATCAAAAGGAAAATAATCTGCATAAACAATTAACAAGTCAAGTCATTTAACCAGATAAATACGCTTACACAATGCAAAATCAATCCGTAAATCATAATAAATAAATTTTCATAATCAATCATCCAATTAGTCATTCAACCTGATAAATAAACTGACATAACAAACAATCAATCAATCATTTTAAATAATTGTGCATAAACAATACACCAGTCAGTCAATAAACAACATTAGCTTACTCAATCATAAACCAATCAATGAAACATAAACAGAAGGTGACTGCAGTTGATGTTAAATATGTCAATCAATCAAACATTCATTTAATTACACAAACATAAAGATAACCATTCACTGCTACCTTTCGGTCTTTCCAGAGGAGTGTTATATTGTGCTATACAGATGTACAAAAATCATAGCCCAAGATCGTGGCGAGTATGACTAGCAAAACCACAATTAAGGCTAGGGATGAAGTTCCTTCCCTCTAGAGCACAAGCCTGGGCAGTATTTTAGAGACTGTGTGCTCATGCAGTATGATCCCTCCCTCAGCCTGCCATCATTCTCTTTCAACACACATAACTAATGAGCCATTCAATAAATCTGTCAGCTAAACTTAGAAACTGACTAATTAAAACAATCAACTAACCCAGGAAACATTGACTAATCATTCATCTGGAAACATCTCACCATAAACTGAGATTCTGCTATGAAACGGCTGGGCATGACAATGCATGGCGGCTGGATCGTGAAAGTAATTTAGAGGATAACTGGCTAGGGAGGCATACAGATCTTCTATATTCGGTGTCCGGCTTTCAGCCTCATCACCCTCCTTGCTTTCCCCAGTAACCTTACTGGAAAATAATTTTAGAATTTTTGAGGTCAGAGACAGGAGGTTGTCTCTTTTAGTCTCTAAAGAAGCTTCAGTTACTAGTGATGATGATGATGTTGATGATTGCTGCAGCTGCTGCTGTTTCTGGTCCTCCACATGCTGAATCTGAGACTGAATATGGGATTTGAACCTTTCAAGTGTTGGATTCACCATTTCTGAATTTAAGTCAACTGAAGCTACTGCTGTTGGCTCTGTTGAAGGAGGGCCTACGCTTTGCGCTACAGAATCTTCCTGCTTGACATTGCCCACACTTAAAATGATCATCTGTTGCTTATTCTGATCACTGCTGGTCTGCTGAAGTTCTGAAACTACTTCCTCTGAACCATCACTTCTTTTAACAGTAATTTTAATACCTGGTTCCATAAGATTTGTTGTTTTTTCTGTATTTTTTGATGAATCTTCTGGCACTGTGTCTTTATTTTCAGCTTCAACTGGCTCTGTTTTCATTGCAGTCCTGACTATGTGATCATCCGTAGGGTTACTAACATGATCCTGTCTTTCAGTTTCATGAGCTTCTTTAACATTTTTATCAGAATCCTTTTCAGCATTTTCTTTAGTCACATCAGAAGCTTCCCCTCCAGATGCATCAGTTGTGTTCTCAACATTGACCTCACTCCCAGCTTCAAGTATCTTTCTAGCAGTATCAATAGCCAGCCGTTCATATTCAGTTTCCTTGTACTGATGTTTCAACTTTTCAGCTATCACAGCAGAAATGTTCTTCATGATGGAGTCCATCTTCAGCTCTTCCATGAAGATTCGAGTCAAATTCCTCTCAGCTTCAGTGAAGCTGGCTATATCAACCACATGGAGATGGTGCTTTCTCTTCGTTTGGTCATGCTCAGGTTCTTCACTTGCTCTGGTGCCTGTACTTTTATCTGCTTTGGTTCCAACCTCTGTGACATCATCAGATATTTGTGGTTCGTCATTCTGAACTGTACTCTTTTCCTGACACACTGCTGTACTATCCTCCTCCCCTGACTGTCTGTCCAAAACGTTTATAATTTTCTCACCTTTTATATCTTCTTCTGTTTTCTTCTTCTTTTTCTTCTTTTTCTCACTTTCAATCCAGTCATAATCACTTTCATCCACTATATCCAGAAGAGACAGTAAATCCAAATTATCATGGAATTCCTGCAGCAGTTTGTCATCTTCTTTCTTCACAGCACTGCAACAGTGGACAGCTGCAAGATCTATGGGGTGTGCTTCAGTGTTGAAGATATATCCTCCAGCTTCAATGACACATGTGCTTCCCTGGGTTGTAACCACGTCTCCGTGGCTGCCGTTGTTGTGTATAAAGTTGTCGGGGTCAAAGAGAAGGTAGAGGTATTTGGTGGTCTCAGCCAAAAAGAATGACTCCATGCGGTCCTCCAACATGTGGTCTCTCACATCTTTCACCTAAATAATAAAACAATTAAAGGTGTCAATAATAATTTGTCTTTTATTAACATCAGATGCAGTATGTAAAGCAAACCAAATATTGGCAGGACAAATATCATCTCCTCCCCCCCCCCCCCCCCCCCCCCCCCCATTGACAGCATTATACAATACAAAGAAACATCTCATTCAAAGCATATTCATTCTTACCTCTATGCTACCAGTGTCAGATATGGTCAATTATAGCAACCCAGATAAAAAAATTAGTAACCATGAGAATGTCTGAGAATGGCTGCAGGAGTGACCAGAAGAAACAAAATCAGGAAAGAGGTCAAGAGAGAACAAGTTAGCACAGAGCCAATCACAAAACCAATTCTTAATTACATACAAAGATAGCAAATCAAATAATTTGCCTACTTAGAGAGAATGCCTTGTAATCTTATACTATACAAGACATACACCAAAAGAGGAGATGGATGTAAAGCACAAGGTAGACCTAGAACAAGATGGAAAGATAATATTAGAGAAACTCTACAACAGCACCGTGTGTCTATGGTCAAGGCAGCAAAAAGCAGAACCTTACATCTCCTGAAGCCGTAAGAGAGGATGTTAAAAAAAAAAAATAATATAGTTTGAGGAAAAAAACACTGGCTGAAATAAAATTTAAAACTCAAAAGGTCAAGAAAAATACTAAAGTTTATAATATCAATGACGAAAAATACATGCTTGCATAAAGTTTAAAACTCGAAATGGTACAGACATTTTTTTCACAAACTTCTTCTTTTTCTACATTCAACCTTAAAAGGGTGATTGGCATGTTGTGTTGTAGTTTACAGCTAGGCTGCAATATTGGCACCGTTCGAGGCAACATATCCATTTAATCAAACCCATAAATATTCACCATTATGAAATGCTTATTACGGGGCAGAAGGTCTATTTGCCCTCCCCCCCCCCCCCCCCTTCCCTCCAAATAGGGATATGAACCCACAAGATTCACAAATACAGTTTAAAGCCATAAATACAAGTAAAAGCTTGTTAACACAAACTCACTTAAGATAAACAGTTTTGTTAACATGAATAAAATTCGTCCCCAATTAGCACATTTTAAAAATGCCAACTCCTAGTTTTTTCAGTCCTATGGAACTTGTGGCAACAAGCTTTTACTGTATTTATTACTGAAAAACATGTTTCAGTAACAATGCCACAGGGAAAAAGAAAGTTGTCAAACTGTTCAAAACTATAAATATCTGAGATTTAAAAGAAAAACTTTTTTCAAGTTCCAAGAAAGGCTTCATACTTTCATAGGTTTTTCATAGGTTCCTACCTGGAATCCTAATTAATGTCAGATGCATCGATTTTAAATCACTCTCTTTACTACCTCTCTGATGCTAAACCCCCTGAGACTTAAGAGTTAAAGTTTATAAATGTTAGTCAAAAAGTCTGAAAACAATGCAAAACTAAAATTAGATATAGAAAAATTGAGGTTTGAATAAAAAAAAAAAAAAAAAATCAAATCTAGAAATGGTTGTTCAAGATCTGAACTTTAAAGAAAACCGGTCAATAGATGACATGATGTCATGGAAACCAAAATACTCCGACTATATCAACTGTCTTTATGTCCAGAAAGAACAGTCATCATCATCATTATGTGCCCTGCAAACTGGCATAGGCGCTCATGCGTCTCCACAGATCATGATCCCTGGTTGCCTACAACAGCTCTCTTGAAGATATCTCTCCATGCCATCATTTCAGCCCATCCATCATCATCTCTCTTGGTCTGCCACTACCCCCTTTTCCACTGATTTTTCCAGTTGTCACGATGTTCTTCAATGTCTCTCTTCTCATTATGTGGCCGAAGAACAGTGTTTGTCTCTTTCTTATTGTTGTATACAGAGATTTTACTTTCATTAGCTTCTTTCAACCAATCGTTGTTTGTTACTCTGGCTATCCAAAGTATTCGTCTCAGAAACCACATCTCTGTTGCTTCCAAATTCTTCTTAATTTGTTCACTGACATTCCAAGATTCGCTGCCATACAGAAGAACAAGTTTTATTTAACATATTAGCACCCTCTTTCTGACATTAAATGAGAGCGATTTATTGTATATTTTTCATTTTCTGAAAGGCAGCTTTCACTTGACCTATTCTGCTTTAATCTCTGTCACACATTTTCCATCTGATGATATGGTTGTTCCCAGATATTTGAATTTATTGCCTTATTTATTGAAAGAACATAAATGGATGCATTAACTCCTGTAAGAGAAGTTGACCAGTATGAAAGTGGATACAGGATGTTTCAGACATCATGAAAATACACAAGGCATGGGAATCAGCGAGAGATAAAGGGTCTTTCAAATATGCATAATGGAATGTTGCTGTTGTTTGTGCATCACAAGTGATGATGATGACCAGTCCTTTCATCCAATGGTGACTGGGTTAGGTTTTGTAGTGTGCAGATGACTGATAAGGCCAATTCTAGCATAATGGAATGTAACGTTCTGATAACAGGCCACTGTGACAAGAACAGTACATTCCAAAAATGCTGTAGAGCTCCCGATGCCAGAAAACCTGGCACTATCAGATTTGTCTGCCAAACAAAAAACGAAAGTTGCTGCTACTACTTCAGCTCCCCTCACTGAGTTGAACACAGTCAAAAAGAAAAGAAAACTTGAAAACATTCTGCAAAGAACCTACAAGTTGATTATAATGATTATGAGGAGGATATAAAACATAAAATCTGACCGTAGCATATCCACAGCTAGTCCTAGCACTGTGCTCCACAGCTTCCACAATGTCCACTCCTATCTCCAGCAGGTAGGGATCTTTGGTAGCTCTGTACAAGTACATGGCACTTTCAATAATTTCTGTGGATGGAACCATTTGTCAGGATCTCAGTGTAACCTTGAGATGTTGACCACATCAATCATTGAATATCAACTGGTCTACAACAATATGAGTCTTGCCCTATACGGCTAATATGCTAGTGATACGAGAAGGGTTCTTTTAACTGATGCAATTGCCCAGAAAAAAAAAAGAACAGCGGCATATTATGCTGTGGTTGACAGCTGGGTTGTGACATCTGCGCCTTTCTGTCAGACATGTCTGATTTCAGAAAACCCTTACTTAGTAAAATTTAACATTATGTTTGTTGGTTGGGGTGGGGGGAGAGAGGTTTTCAGTTTTTTTAACACTCTCCTGCACTGCAGCTCCAAAACTCACATGGAGAGACAAACTATTATTTGTTTCTGTCCTGATAACATTTCACAACTTAGTTTGACCAGGGCATTTTTTTTCTGGTGAAACTCAGTGCCAGAATTTTTTTTTTCCGCACCACTTTAATAAACACCATGTGGTTAGCAACTTTTTAAAAAATACTTTCTGGTGAGTAGCGATAACAAATCTGGTGAGTAGCGATAACTTTTTTTTTTTTTTTTTCAAGGAATAAAAGGCTTGAATTTGTACCAAGTTCACATGTCCTCACTGTAGCACAGTATTTAAAAACTGTAGACTTCCAGATCAAGCCAGCTTCAAACATGTAACAGAAATTGTTCTGCAAAACAAACGTAGCTAGTGTGTTACTGACCAAATGGCCCATAACGTGCCATTCGGTCTAAACAAAAACATGAGACTAGCACCCCATCTTCGTTGAAACCTGCTAGAGGCAGACTTCTCTTCAAAACTGACCCTGGCTTCCCGTCAACCCAGCCTAAAATTGGAACTGGGCATTACCCTAGGAAGTAAAGGTGGCTGGTGTGATGCTGACCACATCACCCACTGAGTGTCAATTGTTTTTACAAAATATGATACTAGCATCAAATACCCGATGCGCCACTGAGACAAAACAGGTCCTTTATTTTTTTTTAACCAAATGTCAAATGCAACAATACAATAATGTCTCCCTAACAAGCATGTTGTAAAAGGTGATTAATTAGGGTGTCTTCTTCAAAGTCAGAGTGCATCTATCTGAGAGGCGGGGAACCAACAGTCTGCATACAAATGAGCCAAATGTGTAAAACAGATGTACATGCAAAACTCAAGGTCTGGAACAAGATCAAAGTCCAGAAGTGGAGTAACAAACAGAACTTTCCAACCGAGTTTACAGCTCATGAACGCTAAGAATGAAAATAAAGAAATGCAACAGAGTAAAAAAAGTTCCTTTTTATTTTTCAAAAATGTACTTACGAAATGGAAACAGGAAGAAGAACACATTATTCAATTTTTGGATAGACCTTCTACCTCTACAACATTTCTCTCCCTCAACATCCTCTCGGTAAACCACAACAAAGACCTTCACATACCTGGTCTCAGAGGATATGCTTCTCTCCCACCATGAACTTCAGCTTTTGGTATGTTGTAGTACTCTGGTGTGAACCCAAACTGCCTCCAGACCTGATGGAAGTTATGCATAGTCTTCATGGCCTCATCAAGGTCACCCAGCATGCCCTAGATTTTAAAATAATTTCATTTATGCATTATTTACAAAAAAAATGGAGAGTGAGTAAACTAGGACAACAATATTACCTCACTTACCCTCTCACCCTCGCAAATGAAAAATGGCAACTATATATATATATATATATATATATATATATATATATATATATATATATATATATATATATATATATATATATATATATATATATACACATGTGTGTTGTCCATCAAAATGATGATGACCACTCTTTATCATCAAGTATGAGTACGAAGATGACTGATGAGGCCGATGCGGGCCCGAAAAGTTCTTGGACAGTGAGGACAGGGAATGAGCGTTGTGCCAGGGAGGGGATCTCCATCAGTCCATCCTTTTCTTAAAAAGTCTTGATGTTCTGTTTGCTTCACATGGAGCCGCGCCCTTGTGTAGAGCTGCACGCCATGCATTTCGGTCTTGTGTGTGTGTGTGTGTGTGTGTGTGTGTATGTATATATATCTTTCATCTTCATATATATACATTCACACACACGCACACACACACATATATATATATATATATATATATATATGTATTTATCTAATTTTTGTTTGGACATATAACAGGAGTAACCAATAAACATAAAGAGAGTGAAGCAGTACAATAAATACATTTTCTAAGGCTAAAAAAAAAATATATACATCAAGTAACCGTGACCATGTGACCTCTATCATTGATAGTACAGGAACATTTGATGTCAACATAGCTTTAGAAAAAAAAGCCATTTGGTTCACAACACTCCCACAATGCTATTTTTGTAAATATTGTTATATCCTGCCCTCTAAAATGCTGTCCAGGTGCGAAAAAAAGCAATGAAATTAAATTCTGCTTTTCAGAAATAGTTCAATGCATACATGCCAGTTTCGCTGCCTTTACAGGAATGTGACAATGACAGAAATGCCGGGTTTAGGGTTTCACTCAGTGACAGAATTAATGGGCAATTATGTATATGTCTGCATTAACAGATCACAAACAAAACTAGTATAAAAGAGGAAAATGACATATTTAACACCTGATGACCTATTACATAAAGACATTTTATTTACCGTCACAAACCAGATTAGTTATGGGGGGACTCCAGGGCTGAGCGGTCAAGCAGTTTGCCTCGCACTCTGAAGGTTGTGGGTTCATTTCACAGCTGCAGCCTTTAGAGACCGAGCCATATGGGATAAAACCTGGTGCAATGAAGTTGATTCTCTTGACTTTAACCTTTTAGTTACTGTAACAAAAAGCTAGACTGTAAAGGGCTAAAGAGCTAAACAGCATCAACACTATACAAATGGAGAGACAACATTAAGATACTGCTGGATACAGAAGGAAGGCTCAGAATTAAAATTACTAAAGATCTCCACAGCTGAAGTTCACTTCAGAAACAGCACTAGATGATGATGATGAGATACAGAATAGCCACCTAGCACACGAAACGGTAAAAGATGCTGTAGCATAGCAACAAGACACTTCCCATCGAGCGCGAAAGTCTAGGGTTCAAATTCATATCAAAGTGAATATTTTTCTTCAAAATTGACCTTGCCTGTCACACTGAGCAGCCTAAAATGGTTACCATGTAATGTTTTAGAAAGTTAAGGTGACCGGTGTAATGCTGACTCCATCATGCATCAAGTGCCAATTGAAATGTAACAGTGATTTTCAACCTAGAGGGTGCACCTTTCTGGGGAGTGTTAAGCAAAACTGAAATTAAATGTATTTGAATTGTAATAATCTGATAACACTAACATTCCCCCCCCCCCCCCCCCCCCCCCACCCCTGTTTTATTATAAATAAACTATATACAAAATAAAAAGCCAAGGACCCTATGTTAAAATTTTTGTTATATTTGACAATTTGATTGATGCTAATGTTTTTCTCCAAGTTTCTTGTTATTCTTGAAGTCCTCACTGAAAGTGCTTGAGTTACTGGTTTTTATCCTCTTTTTCACAGCAAATTTTTTTATGTAAATGTTTTTCTCTAAGTTCTTGTTAATAGTGCTTGAGTTATTTGTTTTACTCCTCCTCTTTTTTGTATAACTATTTTCAATTCAACAGTGTGTCTGACTTACCCCACATTGAAGGGAAGCACCAGCTGAAAACGGTTGAAAGCCACTGATCTATAAAACTAAAGATCTAGCACTATTTTCATCAGGTGTCTAAGGCATGTAGTGTCCTTTGAGTTTTAGTTTTTAATGTTTTTAAATTTTTGTTTAACATACAATGGTGTGTCTTGTCTTATGCATAATCCAGACAAAATACTTGCTCACTTTAACACTAGGCCAGTATCCATCTAAAGAGGTGAAAAGTGGCAGTGTTATTGTCCCCTTGGTCATCTGTGCCCACATGTACCAATCATCTCTTTTCAGATATTTTTTTACTGACTGTTCATAGTCTGTGGAGGGAAATCACAAAACACAGTTAGAGAGAAGCTGCAAGGATCTGCATCAGTAGTCCTAAAGGAATCAAGAAGCAAACAGCGATAACAACCTCTTACTAAACATAAGATATCAATATGCACACACAAAAAGCAGCTGATAAATTTGCTATTTGTACCGATCTTGTACTCTCAATGCCAGACGTGGACAGCCCTTGAAAAACATCAACTCGAAATTTTAAAATAAGATGTATAAGAAATGTGTCGGGAAAAACAAAAAGAGAAAAAGAGAGAGAGAGAAAGAGAGAGAGAGAGAGAGAGAGAGAGAGAGAGAGAGAGAGAGAGAGAGAGAGAGAGAGAGAGAGAGAGAGAGAGAGAGAGAGAGAGAGACAGACAGACAGTCAGACACACAGACAGTCAGACAGACAGTCGTCAATGAAGAACTAAGAACAATAGTAGACACAGTGTTAGTAAATGATTAAATTTAAAAAAATATATAATTAAGGAATCAAATGGTTTGGTCACCTGGACAGAACGGAATAAGATCAGCCAGCAGCTAGGGCATACTATATGAGAACAGCAGGCTGCAAGGCAAGAGGCAGACTAAGAAAGAGACAGGCTGAGGGAGTAAAAGAGACACTGAACACAATATGACATTTACATTAGCTAAGCAGCTAGCAAAAAAATACACAGGAAACTACACCCAAATCTTCTCTGCGCAACACTTTATGGCATAAGAAGTAGGACAAAAGAAAAAAGAAACACAATTTACTGAACATAAGTACGTTAAGATAAGGACCCATATCTATATCTGGGTGCAGAGTGGATATATGGTGCTAGCCCAAAATGTTTACAGACCAACTGACATTCAATTATAGTAAATCTCATTAACATGAACTTGCTTAAGATCAACACTCAGTTAACATGAACTAAATTTTGTAGTGGTGTTACATTATGTTAGTCCCCAATAACAAAAGGATTTTTTTTTTAAAGATGGGGTTTAATCATTCTCTCGTAATTTCTTATAGGAAAATTCATTCCACATATGTCCTGTTTAGTATACGTCCAAGGACGTGGAACAGATTAGGGATATGTATATAAAGTACCACTGTATCTAACTATTACCTCCAAAAAGGCACACTATTTCCTTATATAAACATCCAAAATCAAAACTCAATCTCCTCTGTGTGTTAACTCTGTCAGCACCAAAGGAGTTAAATTAGTCTATATATATAAAAATCAATGTTTGTGTGTTTGTTTATGAGTTATAGACTCGGAAACTACTGAACCGATTTAGCTGAAATTTTCAGGATATGTTTGTTTTGATACCGGATGTTCACCCATCATGGTTTGAAATTCAACCTGTCATTGTTAGAGATAGTGTGCGACAATTTTTGGGAAAATCTTCGAAACTAATATCTACATTTTTAGTGACAGTTAATTATAGCCACGTTAGTAAATGCCCATGCGCCGTAGTCAGAACGCAAGACTTCCACCATTCGCTGGCGAGATACGTACAGCCAACGCCTTCTCTAATAAATAGAGTAGGCTGTGGTACAGCAAACAAGACTATCTCTATATCTGTGCAGGCAATGATTGCCACAGTAACCATATTAAACACGATTTATATTTTCTGTTTTTTTTATTCAAACAACCTTTGATGAGTTGGAATGTAGCCGATGGATTGAAAGGGAAAAAGGGGGGGGGGGGGGGGGGGGATCAAGGCCTATCTCGACGTCAGCGCAGACATTGACTGCGACATTAACCGTGTTAGACACGTGTGATTTCTATTGTTGTGCCGTTTAAATAATATATCTGGAATATCTGTCTATGAGAAAACAATTGCCTGCTGTTTTGAGTTGTATTATAATCGGGACACTGTAGTAGGGACACACATCTCAAATAGTTTTGTTCTCTTTTCGTTTCTCTGATGAAGTGGCTGCTTGGTCGAATGGTTAGAACATTGGGTTCCTGTCCGGGAGACCAGGGTTCGAATCCGCAGTAGTGTTTTTTTTTTTACACGGGGCTAAAATAAAATCTTCACCTGCACTGTCGTAACGACAGCTCTAGCCATGTGGCACCTAATACTAAAAAAAAAAAAAAAAAAAAAAAAAAAAGGACAGGTATGTGGGTAAATCAGTTTATAATTAAATATGACCATTTCGCATACTTATGATTACATTTTTAAACTTTACAATTGCATGGTTACGCTGAAATTTCATAGCTTTCCATTTATTTTCATTTAGATTTAATTATTTCATCTGCGTTAGAATTTTAAGCTGTGCTGTTTACCATAGCGTTCATTTCCTAATTATGGTGTATTTTTCCTGTTTTCATTTGCTTTTCAATTGTTTTTTTTTCTTCTCCCAACTACTTCAATGAGGGAAAAAGTAGTCGGTGAATTGGGGGTGGGGGGGGGTGGGGGGGAGGGTGCAAACTGTTTACTGAGAGAGCTTTAAGTCACAGTAACTGCTTTACCCGCTCAAAGTAGCAGCAGCAGTAGTAGTTGTGGTTGGGTGGTTACACCGTAGTGCTCTCATGTGAAGACCACCGGTAAGGTTATGGCCTTCTTCTGTCGGAAAGCGAAATTATACATCCTAATCTGACCAGTCCGTGGCGACAGCACTAGCTATGCTGCACCAAATCTTCTGGCTCACGACTCCCTGTCTACTCCGATGGTAAAACAGATAGCAGTGACATTATTTTAGCTACTGTAGTGGTGGTCGTGGTAGTAGTTGTACTGGTACTTGAAGGATGATGTGGTAAATATTACACTAGCCCCATTCACTACCTATTACAATTCCTGCTCCCCATTTTAGTCTGGATGGACAGGGATGACAATGTCAGTTACAACAACAACAAAATATCGCCAGGTGATGATTTTCAAATCCTTCGAAGAGGGAGAGAACAGTAGTCGGTGGAAGAGGGGAGGGGAGGTGTGTAATGACCTAAATTTAAGAGAACTTAAAGAGCTTTACACATGATTTTCAAGTTCTCATTATTTAATTTGTTTATATTTTACTAACGCTACATTCACTATTCAATTTTTTTACGACTGACTTTGTTATTTACAAGTACAGCTGTAGCTTTACTTCCGTCTCCTATAAAAATACAAACAGCTTTAGCATGTGATAACCAAATAACCATTTTTGTTACTGTGCTAATAACACCATTTAAATGACCACTAATATAAAGACACAATTATAAAGTTGGAAAACCAGACTATCTCTATATCTGTGCAGAGAATGATTGCGACATTAACTATATTAGACACGAGCGATTTTCACTGTCTTTCTTTTCCAAAAACCTTCGATGAGGGAGAGAGTAGTAGGTGGGTTTAGTTGTGGTGGGGGGAGGGGGGGGGGAATCAAAGACTATTTCTATATCTGAGCAGACAATAATTGTATTAGACACGTGCAATTTCTATTTTCTTTCATTTCCATTTAGCCAAACTATGCCACAGCAACGCGTGGCCGGGTACAGCTAGTTATAAATAAAAATGCAACATGTTTCCTGGGACCGAAAGAATTAAAACTAATAGTTTAGAACTCTGCCTGTAGATTCCAGTTTAGGGAACAAAGAATAGACCTACTGCCCCACCCCAAACCAACAACACGCATGTCATATGAGGCAACTAATCAGGTGTGTTCCTTCAAAGTCGGATTGCATCTGCCTGAGAAGCAAGGAACTAACAGTAAGCAAATTAAATAAGCCAGATCTGTGAAACGGATGTGCAGGCAAACTCAAGTTCTGGATCAAGAAGTCCAGGAATGGATGAATAACCAGAAAATTCTGTGAGAGTTTACAGCCTGTGAATGCTTAGAAGCAGAAAAAGGTTTGGAACAACGAAAACATACAGCTATGAACACTAACAGCAGGCAGAAATAACATTACCTCTAAACATATGCAGGAGTTCTGGAATGATTAAACATGATTGCCCCCTTGACCAGGTACTCAAAATAAGAGTCAATACCCCCTCCTATTCCGGAATCTTGGGCTGTCCATTTCCCAGTACCTACATCAATGTGATTGCCGAGCTGCAATAAAGTTTGTAGAAACAATTGCACCCTTTTAACATTCAATTTAACAACATGTTAAAAATAAAATTAAAAAAAAAAAAAAATTTTCTAATGCTGGAGGAGTGCAAAAAGTTAGACCTTCATTCACAACATTTATACAAGGTTACTGACTAGTGAGGTGTTCAGTTCCCTTCTTTTTCACTTAAGTTTCCCTTTTTCCACATACCTCAAACATAAAAAAAAAAAAAAAAAAAAAAAAAAAATGAGCACCGACTGATATCTATTTTTATTTGTTTAGGTTGGTTAAAAAAAAAAAATCCTGCCTCTGTTGATGATTCTGCTCTGATGATTGTCTTGGCAGGCATTTTAACTGACACCCTATTCCCCCAATGGCTCCCTGCTTCAGATCTAGTAGATGGCACACATTTTCCATTGTACTGAATACATTAGGCTTATAGCAATGTAATAGTATGCATGCACTCAGAACGGTTAAGACAAGACTTCCCTATCAAGCTCTCATTCGGACATCCGAAGGGAAAAGAAAAAAGGAAGACCAAGAGAGATCCTGGGTAGAACCATCATCAGAGAAGGCTTAACCATGGGCCTAATGAACATCCAAGACCTAAAACAGGTGGCAACAAACTGCCAGAAATGGAGAGCTATGACCTCTGCCCTATGCGCCGCCCTTGGCTCACAAGGAAAGACTAACTAATTTAATAGTTACACAGCTTTTGTAATCAGAAAAATAAATTCACACACATTTTTCTAATGAAAAAAATAAAAGCAAATTAAAATCTTACCAGTCCAAGAGGTGACCTGTATTTCCATAATGACCGTATGGCACGAATGGCTGTCTTCTCAAACACAGGATCCCCGGTGAGGCGACTCAATGTTCCAAATTCAATAATAAATGTCCCGATACCAGCCGTGCACGTGACAGTTGTCTCTCCCTTGGGAACACCATGTCTAAGATTGACTGTCCCATACGGCATCCCAGTGGGTGTGTCAAAAGCTTAAAGAAAGTTAAAAACAAAAACCAGTTAAAATGAAGAGATTAACACTTTTGCCCAGCGAATGCTAAAATAAAAATGGGTGATGAATAGTTTACACAGGTAAATAATAATTTGTTTCCCAAATTTATTTATCTACATTTTAAGAATTTCTGTTTTGAAAAACATAACCATATATAAAGGGAGTATAATTAGTAAACAAGAACAAAGTGAAGCATGAAATGGAATGCATTCCTCTGAGCCTAAAACATATTTGTACTGGGTGACTCATGCCCTGACCTGTGACCTCTATCCCTAAGGCTTATGGGCACATTTTAAGTCAACCTGGCTTGAAAAAAAGCTGTTGGGTTCAGAAGGAAAACCCTCCAAATACTATATACAGTTAAAATATTCCCATCCGGGCCTCCTAAAGACTACATGGGCACAAACAGAACCAACAGCATTCAACTATGCTTATCAAGAATAGGTCACTGTAGAAACAGTGATACATCAGCATTTACATGGATGTATCACAACAAAGTGACTACGTATAGCCTTCTCAAGGCGACAATGTTAAACAACATTTTTCTAAGAGCGGGTTCCAAGGCCTCCTTTAGGGAAAAGAACAGAGCTACTGCCCCTAACTAAGTATGTAGTGAAAGGCAACTAATTAGCAATTTCGGCACTGCCCAGGCAAAATTTTGAGTTTAAAAAATCCACCCACAGTTTTTCAGGATCCTCGCTGGTGCTAGGGAGTTTGTGCACTGCACTGTAATTCTTGGGACTCAGGCTCGAGTCAGAAGTAGAACAGAGCACTGATGGGTTACTACCCTTGTGCCCCGACTTTGATCTAAACGCCCCAGCTACAGCTGAAAGCAAAGTAAGAAGCAACAGGAAATCAAAGACTAGGAACTTCACACACTGTAATTGATTCAAGTGCAAGATTCTCACAACTGAAAAACTATCTGAAAGCTGTTATATTAAAAGCACCCAAGGCAATCATGGGGGATATATGGTTCACAAGCTCAACAAACAGGAAACTGCTGTTCTCAAACATTTCTTAGATAGAAAGCTTAGCTCGACCACACCTAAGTGTATATCCAAAACTGGTTTATCTTCCGGAAACACATAATCAAAACATGCTGGTCACTTGGTTTTTCTAGTTAGGCCATGCCTGGAACTTGCTGTTCTTGATAAAAAACTAATTCAAAAGCACCTAACAAAGATCTGATTCTGGAAACAATTCCATTATGAAATTATCAACCAAAATTAAAACTATAACTAATTAATATTAATAACACACTCAGATAAAACATGAACAACAAGACTATAATGCAATTAAATTAATTCATCCTGAATATAACTCACAAACACACATAATAGATATGCGTATACAAACCTGGCAGAATTTTTCGGGCAATGTTGTCAGCCATTCTCAGGAGAGGACCACTGCATGGCCAGCCAGGCTCCACCTCCATTCCTGCCCGCTTCATCATTAAATGGGCAGACAATAAACCACCCACAACTGAAATACAAATCAACAAACATGTCATCCTCAGACGTCATTATTACATTTTTTTTTTTTTAAATCATCACTGTTGTCAGCTGGGAGGATAAGAGGTCATTTCCCTTCGATAATCATTATTATTTTATGGATATACAATAAAGTACTAGCCAACTTAACCATCTAGGACAGAATGATAAAGAAAACTATCAGATAAATTGTTGGCCCAATACCTTGCATACAATTAAATTAAAAGCAGAAGATTAAACAGTATGGTCATCTTGTAGAATGTAGTCAAAACCATCAACATAGGCATGTAAAAATATGTGAATGTCCAAGTAAGAATCACCATCAAACCATCTGGACATTGCCATAAGCACTTTATCCCCATTCTCAACTGCAAGTGCAGAGATCCAATTCCAAAGGCACCAGCTACAGTCTAATTGTACATCCACCTTGTATTTCCCTGGAGTGTTGAATGAGGCCAGATCTTCAAGTCACTCCTCACTGCACCATCCTCCTCAGAGCGTGATGATCTATTTGTGCCCCCACACTGTTCACTCACTCTCAAAAGAACCCTTACAACATCTAGTTTGTCATATACCGATTCCACATCAAGTAGTGCAGAACCAACCAGTCTACTTGTTCATTTCCCAATGCACCTGATTACCCTGTAGAAAATATCCAAAGGATGCTATCTATACTCGGGACCTCTGAAGCGATTCCTGACACTATGCATAGAAAATCCCTTTCTTAACATGCTGTGTGAGCCAGTGACAATTACAGCAAGTATGTACAGCTGCTTCTCAAGCCAGCAGAAGGCTCCAGCGACTGCCACCACATTCTCAAACCAGATGTGATATGACAGCAAGAGGGTGCCCAAGAAGAATATGGACTTATGACATTAAAATTTCTACACCAACAGAAGACTGACAATAGCCAACGCTACTCATCGAGCAATGGGCTGCAAACTGTTCCTCCCCCTTGATGCTTAATAGCAAAAGTGGAAACTGACCATGACGATGATGACAATAAAGAACATTAGTGGCACAGGGGTTAGCATCTCCAATTCTGTCGTTTTGGTTCAAACAGCAACAGTCAAATGTTTGCATTTTCTGACCAGTACATTAGTGGGACTAACCTAGCCTATACAACGGTAACAAAGCCTGAGGTCTACCACACAGAACATTGACCGCAGGAATATTAGAGATATTGAAAAGTTCTTCAAACGAAGCAAACAGAAGGGTCCGTTCATGAGATATCTTCCTGCCCTAACATCACAAGGCATTTCAGGACTAGAGAAAAGAAGAAAAGAAATAACCTAGCCCTACAAAATGGGTAACAGACAGTTTTCAGTATTCATAGAACTGTCTTTGAAAGAAAGTTGGCGCAGAAGGGAAAAGACCACCCATAATGACTTGGTTTAGAAAATGTAAAGGATTTAGATCTCACAATCAAATGGAGTAACTGACATTGGCCTTTCTCGACCTGTATAAAGTATAAGCTTAAAGAAAAAAGATCCAGCAATCAGACAAAATATATATACAAGGTCCAACAATTAAGTAATGAGACTGATATTATTACGGCTAAGACAAAAGTGCCATCTATGATTCCCATCATGGAATGCAAAGAGACAACCTTTGTCTATGATCTGGCAACTTTTCATTGCTGTCCGATAAGCAGACAACAAACAAGCTGCCATTTTGTTAACCTAGTAAAGGTGCATTGTTACGTAATCAGCATGGACCAAAAAAGCTGACATTAAATTCTGTTTAAAACTCAGAAAAAGTGACATTGCGACAGTTGAATTGATGCGACAAGTTTATGGGGATAATTGTTTATCTCGTGCACAGATTTTCAGCTGATATTCACGATTCAAAAGTGATGTGGAAATGATTACTAATACAACTAGACCTAGATGCCCAATTTCTGTTCGTAATGAGGAACTCGTTGCAAAATTCTGAGAACGTTAACAAGAAAATTGTTTTTTGACTCTGAGGATGATGGTAGATGAATTTGGTGTTAATACAGAGACTATTCGTAAAATTGTAGTAAAAGATTTGGGCAAGAAAAAAGTTGCTTGCCGGTTTGCTTTCTTACTTTGTTTGTATGGAATACCTTGCAATTTGTTTCTTCTTCATGACAATGCCCTGGCTCAAAGTGCATTAGTTGTACAGGAATTTTTGGCCCCAAAACAAGTGCGTGTTCTCAACCATCCACCCTACTCCCTAGATTTATCTCCATGTGATTATTTTCTATTCCTAAAATTAGAGTTTCCATTGAAATGAGGCTTTTTTGACGATACTGATGACATCCAAAGGGTCGTAACATTGACTTTAAGGTCCATAACAACACAAGAACTACAGAGGTCATTTCAGTGTTTGTTAGATCGTGCTACTTGCTAGATTAATGAACACGGGGCTTACTCTGAATAAAATACAGGTTATATCGTTATCTTCAACTGTTGATATTTAACAATTTTTATGGAACTTGTCTCATTAATTTATTGTCGGACCTTGTATTTTGTTTTTGAAACATCTACATATAACCCCCCCCAACCCCCCCCCCCCCCCACTCAAAATTAGGTGCAGACACGCAAGATCTGAATAAGTAATTACAAAGGTGAACGAGGCTCCAGAGATAGTGATATACAAAAAAATAAAAGTAAAAGCAGACAAACTAAATACACTGAGAGCAATAGGGTGCCCTAAATGAATATGGACTGATGATATTAGGTAATCAGGTAACCACAGTTACTTTTTGATAGCTAATGGGTCACCCCAAAGTTTCTCTGCACCTGTTCCAACATAAACTTGAGAATGTCCCTAGTCAAAGAAACGGACACACTGCATTTTTTGCAAATCCAACAGCAAACACATGCTTTAAATGCATAAAGCAGCAGTCAGAAGTTCCAACACAAACAATCTGACACTAGAAATGCAGTTCATCATCAATGAAAGCAGCAGTTAAAACAGATCATTCGTTGCACACAAAATTAATCACACAAACCCTCAGAAATTCTCTGGCAACAGGCAACTCGCTGTTTTCTGAATATGCAATTCACAAAACACAAACCACAATGGACACAGTCAGAAAGCACTCCAAATTCAATCCCCAGTTCACAGTGTCACGTTACGCACTCACCAGTTATTGGCCAATGGAAATATATATATATATATTAATAAAAATGTTAATTTTCCGATGTTGTTAGCTAAAAACTCGGAAACTACTGAACCGATTGCTTTCAAATTTGCACACAACGATGCCTTTAACTCCAAGCGTGATTTTTTGTCAGAAAATCGCACAAACCACGAACAACGTAGCTCCAGCAACGAAAAATCATTATTTGTTTCGTTGCCTGCCAAAATTTGTTTTCAATCGATTGGCCACCTTTGACTGTGTAACACCGAACTTCACATTATTATTATATACTTTCATTTCTACCAAATGCTTGAGTATTTAGTAGCATAGTTAGTTATAAACATTTTTCTTTTTACTCGGGTGATAAGGGTTCGATTTCCTGCTGCGCCAAAAGACATCCGATTTCAGTACAGTCTCAGTTAGCCTCCCCCCGACGCTTCACTCGATCATAACTATTCGTTGATGACAGAAACGGTTAACTAAGAAGATTACGGCCCAGTTTGGTTTGGATCGACACGGATGCCAAGGTTAGTTAAACATCGTCCATTCAGAGAGGGAGATATGACGAGTGCGGGTTTTTATTTCCGCTATTTGTGAGTATTGTGTACTTTTTTTTTTAAATCACGGAATATTACTGTGGGTTCCACCACTGGTTAGGTGATGGAGTTTTATGCCAGGGACACACTTAAACTAAATAGTCTGTGGCGACAGCATGCGGCACCAACTCCTCTGGCTACAATGACCTGTACAGACAGTAGTGGCCGTTTTGTGTTGTTGTAACGACGGTGGTGGAAGTGGTAGCAGTAGTACTGGTACTAGATGGGTTAGGTGGTAGCTGTTACACTGGCCACATTTACTTCTCAGTACAGATTAATGCTATCCACTTTTGTCTGGGTGGACACGGATGCCAAGCTCAATTTAACAGCAATATTTCGTCAGGCAATGACTTTCCCATACTTCGTAGAGTATGTTATGATTGTCACGGGAGGGGGGGGGGGGTTGAGGGGGGGGGGGGGGGGAAGGGTTGACTTCAGACACTGTTAACTAAGAGAGCTTAAAGCATTATTTTACAGTTCTCATTTCTTAACTATTTCTATTTTAACAATGTCGCCACATAATAATGTTTCAATCATTTGGAGAGGGAGATATAATTGGGCAGATGCTTGAGTCCTTGGTAGCATAGTTGTATATTTTGCGTGTTACTCGGGTGACCGGCGATCAATGCCCCGCTGGGTGATTAAATATTTTTTCTTGCCTTTAACTAAGCAGCTGGCACGTTGTGTTGTGGTTTACAGCTAGGCTGCGATATCTACGTCTTTTTTCCGCTCGGTTTGGAGGTGTACAGCTAGCCTGTGATAACGGAGACGTGAAGTTGGTCATGTCAGGGTAATCTTCATTCATGTTGTGTTGTGGTTTACAGCTAGGCTGCAATATCAGACCCAACCTCTTCAGTCTTAGGTAGTATAGTTGAAAGTATTCCGCCCTTCACGCGGTTGACCGGTGTTCGATTACCCACAGGGTGCTAATTTTTCTTTTTCCCTCAAGAGGGTTGTTGGCATGTTGTGTTGTGGTTTAAAGCTAGGCTGCGATATCTGCACCTTTCGCCCAAAGACATCCGATTTCAGTAAAGTCCCATTTATCCTCCCCGCATCGCTTCACTCGATCATATACTATTCGTCGATGACAGAAGCTGTTAGCTAAGTCCAGTTTACTTTGGGTGGACACGGATGCCAAGGTCCTTTAACATTCGTCCCTTCGGAGAGGGGAGATGATGGGTGAGGGTTTTTATTTCCGCTATTTGTGAGTATAGAAAGGACTATTACTGTGGGTTCCTTCACTGGTTGGGTGATGGAGTTTTTTTTTTATATTCTTTGTTGGGAGCTCAATTACACTAAACAGTCGGTGGCGACAACATGCGGCGCTAACTCCTCTGGCTACACCGACCTGCACAGACAGTAGTGACTGTTGTTTGTTTTTGTTCTGAAGGTGGTGGTGGTAGAGATAGCAGTAGTACTGGTACTGGATGGGTGATGTGGTAGCTGTTACACTGGCCATATTTTTCTCAGTTCACATTAATGCTATCCATTTTTCTCTGGGTGGACACGGATGCATAGCTCAATTTAGTTACAATATTTCGTCAGATGATGATTTTCCCATCCTTCGGCGAGGATGATATGATTAGTGGGAAAGGGGGGGGGGGGGTTGTGAGTTACCCATCAAGTGCTGAAACATCAAGCACACTTTCCAACAGTGTTTGACAAGGAAAAGCGGCAGATAGTGATTACTAACTTAATACATTAGTGTAATAATTAAACAGCATGTTGTTATTGTGTCGCAGTTACGATGGTTTGGATAAGTATGTAGAAAGAAAGAGAATCAGCCTTCACGGCAGGTATGGGAGGCCAAGGACCAGGGAACCAGACTTCCGGGATGACCTAGTGGTTCATTGGGAAAACAACATCCGACAATCTCTGACCAAAGGAGGACTGGAATGGAAAACACTAAAGAGAAAACTGCGGCTAGAGAAGTCTGGCGATCTCTCTGGCAAACCTCCACACCCCAGGGTAGAAGAGGAGTGACTAAGTAAAGAGGAGAGACTAAGTAAGTAAACTGTTACTGTATATATGCATAACTAACTTACTTCTGATATTGGTTTCAAAAACAGAAACATTGATATCTATGTCGAAGAAGCTCTCTCCTTTGTCAAACAGGATGTGTGCAATGCGCCTGAATTCTGAATAGTTACCCATAACAGCCAGGGTATCCATTGCATCAATCAAAGTAAGAGAGTAACTGTCAGGGAGAGAGAAATATATAGGGCTGTAAAATATTTAACAACATAATAAAAACGTCATATGATGCTAGACAGTTTCATAAACTAATCAGTACTTGCAGGGTGGTGAGGTCAACATCACCCAGGCCGCCTTTACCTTCCAGGACATTATTTGGTACTCTGTCTAGGCTGGGAGGATCTCAGGACTAGGGTCAATTTTTTTTAGGGGGGGGGGGGGGGGGGGGGGGGGGGGGCCTCTTTGCAGACTGACTGACTGACTTTCTACCCCACCAGGACATCACACAGGCGATAAACACCTAATGACACAATGTGCCACCATGTGGATGAGGATCACTGTGGAGAGGTCCCAGAAACCACGTTCAGCCATCAGGCTATATTGCGGCCCCTGGCAAGAGCCAGAGTAGGGCTTCAAAAAATGAAAAATTTCATCCTAAAAAAGGATGGGAAAATTATCTTTGCCGATGGGAATCCTAGGTAAAGAGGCTAGCATCTAAAATCCCCAACATAAGTATGATTTTTTTTTCTAACCAGTATGTCTCTGGGGTCAACCCAGTCTGATAAAAGTGTGTACCAGACAATTTTTTTTTAGAGGTTTCTAATTAATTTTACCCCCCCCCCCCCCCCCCCCCCCCCCCCCCCCCCCCCCCCCCCCCCCCCCCCCCTTTCCCCCTTACATGTGCTGATCTATACAACAGGTCATACAGATGCACATACAGTCCAGTCCACTTAAGTCGAACTCGGATAAGTCGAATTTCAGTTAAGTCGACATGACCAGCTTAGTTCTGGCAATTTCCTCTATTCTGTGTGCTGTCTGGATAAGTAGAAATCCTGATAAGTTGAAGCATTGTCAAAGGTCCATGCGACTTCTACTTATCCAGACTTGACTATATATATATTTTCACAGCATCTGACAGAAACTAAGCAGGTCAATAAATAAAGTGTCATATCTATAATGAAAGTGACTGCAAACCATTCTATATCTCTCGCCCTTGTAGTACACTCTATTGGGCTGCTTGTCCATCTCTATCGCTGTAATCCCCCCACTTGTATCGCTTCCACTTTTTTCTCCAGTATGGTTTTACAAGAGTGTTATATCTTTTAATGGTAACAAATACATAGCAAATAAATATTCACACAACCAAACTCTGTAGCTGCTTACCTGCCCCATGTATCATGAGCCGGCACAAGTCAAGGGCTGTAACTCATCATACGGGTAAGCATGAGTAAGGTACCCTTCATAAGCATGATAAAACATGCGTCTCACTTTCTCTCTGAGTGAAGGAATACCAAACAAAGTAAACAAAAAATGTTGACAATTCTCTCTCTGTGAGCACCTTCAGCAATGTTAACAACATAAAGTTCACACAATGTGTTTTCTTACAGTACCAGCATGTGTCACAGTGAATGGTCATAGAGAGAAGGTATAGCCAGTATGAAAAATCAGGTACTATAAAAAGGCTGAATATACTGTGAAAGAGGACATAGTGGAAGCCATATTTTAAGAAAACTCTGACCAGATGGACAATTTCAGATAACACCTGAAACTATATGGCTGAGATTAAAAGATTAGTGACATTAAAACACCATGCATTGCCTGGGATCCAAAGAGTTTAAGAAATTTAAAAAAAAATATAAAGAACACTTTTGCACCCTTATTGCACTGGGTATATATATATATATATATATAGTGTTAGGGATGCCGCTGTGGTCTAAAGGCTAGATGCTCGACTGTGGATCGGAAGGTCGTGGGTTCGGTTCCTGGCGGGTACCAGACTTTAAAAAAAAAAAAAGACCTTGGCTCCCAGGTCGACCCAGCCTTGAGTGTGTACCAGGTGCAGTCCTAGGAAGTAAAGGCGGCTGGCGTGTGGCTGACCACATCACCCACCAAGTGTCTTCTGGTCTATAAAATACATGTCTAGCCCTATATACCCAATATGCCTGAAAGGCATGGAAAAGGGTCCTTGACTTTACTTTATATAGTATTAGGCCCCTAATTTTATGTACCAACTGACATTTGAGGGGTGATGTAATCAATATGTTGACCATCTATACATGTTACTCCTGTTCCCAATTCCTATTTTGCTTTTCAGCCACAGGTCTTGAAGAGGTATCTAAGAAAGCCTTAGTGTGTGCTACACAGATGGCAGTATTTGAAAACCTCATATATTCTATCTATCTATATTTGAGTTGGCGACTTCTGCTTAAATTTACTATAGTGTCTAATCATAGTGGCTACTAGCCACTACGAATATAATATGTTCTGAAAAAAAAAAAAAACTTCCCTAACTGCAGGTAATTACCAATACTGTGGTGTAGGCAGGGGGTCTTTGAGCCTGAGATTTTAAATCTGCATGACTATTTCTGTCTCCACAGGCCATGCAGGTTAGGATTTTTGTTGTTGCCCAGACAGAAACAAATGCCCAAACTACCCAGAATTCAATCCCTGGTCTCCCACAAGAGAGTCCTGTGTTTTTATTCATTTAGCCAGACACTCCTCAATAATATGTTCAAGGGGGCCAACACTGCTACAATCTGTTACCTTTTATCTCCCTCAGCACACACCCACGGTGATAAAAGAAGGACTGGAAGAGGAGAAGAAGAAGATCATGCTTTCCAATTAACTAAAAGAATCATAGCAGAACATAATGGCCTTTCTTTATTTAGTCCATCCTTTTAAACAACCCCTTCCCCTTTTCCCTTACCATCATCCTCTATGCTGACATCAAAATGGCTGACCACCCTGAGATTATAAAAATCTGATTCTGAATGGCAAGTTAGTGGGGCAAATCCCAAATACCCCATTCAACCTTCGAAGATTTATAATTTATGGCACCCGTACTGCTACAACAGACTGGTGTAAACTGCCATCCTGAGCAAGGAGACCTAAGTTATGCATTAGGTTAGTGTTATGGCAATCCTGACACGTCCATAAGTGCTCAGATTCTAATTTTAAAGCGTACATAAGTGTCATGTGGTTAATAATAATGACAGTGATAGTCCTATGCTGGCTGACAAGACTCCTCGTACGTCCACTATGCCTCTCATGCCTGGCAGTGAGAATCTTTACTCCTAATTCACACATTTTTTATCGTAATATAGACACATTGCACCCATAATCTTCAGAATGTTGAATTTTGAATTAAGAATCGACATCACAGCACTCGGGACATTCCAATAAGCGTTCCAACTCCATTTTCGGCAGGAAGAAAAGACTTCCAATTCCGATGGTACCAGTAACTGAATGACAATACATCCATCTCACCTTTTCCTTGAGTGTTCAGTGTTAGCAAGATTCCCTGGTAACTCTTCTCAGCGCCATTCTCCTCAGACCATAGTGATCTATTTGTGCTTCTGCACTGTTCACTTGCTCCAAAGGGCCCTCACAACATCTAGCTTGTCATAAATCAGTTCACCACCAAGTTGTGCAGAATAGGCAAGTCTATCTACCCGCTCGTTTCCCACACACTAGCATAATCTAGAGAAAATATCTAAAGGATGCTGACTACCTGGGACCTCTGAAGTGATGTGATGCTTGCCATTCTGCACGAAGCATGCCTTAAAATCCTCAGATCGTCCATGACTTGACGTTTTACCCCACCAGGACAGCATACTGAGCGACAAACATTCAGTGACACAAAGTGCTGCCATTCGGATGAGGATCACCCGGGGACAGGGTCCCAGAAACCCCGTTCAACCCACAGAGTGGGTGATATATTATTAGCGCCCCCGGTGGGATATATGATTACGCTTAATCAAATAAATAATTTAAGCTTGTGTTAAAGCAAGGTTAAGCTACTTGTTATATTAAAAAAACCATAAGAACAAACAATACCAAACCTATATGCATCAATATCAATTTCCCCGACTCTTTTGGCAGAAGAAAAAACCTGAAAATTGATTGTAACAAGCACAGAAATACATAAATACAACATCAGGATCTTTCTGCTAGACAT